TTGTATTTCTCTTTTCTGTTGCTTTCTGATATTGTATCGATTTTTCATCTTATTTTTCCCTTTCTTGGTTGCTTTTTTAAGTTCTGAATTCTCCATTTTCTTTCCCCCCCTTTCTCTTTTCTTCCTCAAGTAAGATTGTCTGTCCATTAAAGATGGCTTCTTCTCCTTCATCCCAGCCTTCTTGTTGTTGTATTTCTTGGTAGGTAGAAATTAGCTTTTGAAATTCCATTTGCAATTCCTCAACAGATAATGCCATTTTTTTTCTTAAGAACAAGCCAAATGTTTTTAATCTTTCAAGAAATAGTTCCCAAAAATCCCAAAGTCACAAAGCAATCCAAATCAAAACAAATTGTTTCATTTAGCACTTTCTTCTTTTTAGATTTTCTCTTCCTGGGGTAGAGTTCAATTACACAGTTCCAAAGTAATTTTTTAGAAGTCTTATTGCCTTTTATTTCTGGTCTTATAAACTCCAAGCAGTCTCCTTCAGTACAATCTTAAAATAAGTTCTTTACCTCTTCCCTCCCACTTATAGCAAAAAAGGTTTTAGTTTTTAATTCCAATGTTCAGAAATCTTTTATCCCCTTGGCTTTAAATTTCAAGTTTAGTTACCTTCTGTGCCCAAGCAGGTTTTTCCGATTTCCATCAGCTATTTCCATGGGGAGGGAGAGTGAGAGAAAATAACTTTCCCTTTCGATTTTCTTCCACCGCTTTCCAGTCTTCTTAGGAAACAGTGTATCATTGAAGCAATTAAAATTCCAGGGTGTTTAAAAGTTCCTTGTTGTCCCGGTGCAGCCAAAAAACTTTCACTTTCTCCAACTTCCTCCTGCACAATCTTACCCGGCTGCAGGCTTCTTTGTGGAAGCCATTGCTGACCGCCGCTCCACCGTCTTGGGAAAAAGGAGTTTAGCTGGCTGAGGAGGGGGTTTGCGATACCCCCAAACCCCTATCCGGATCTCCTCTATCTTCGGTTGCCTCTATGGGGCAACCATATCCTTCAGATCCAGCTGGATTGGAGGCACTTCGGCGGCGAGCCCAGCAGGAACGCGCACGATCACGGATTCCTGCCGCTGCCAAAGCCTTGCAAACCGGAAAGCTGTCCTGTGGCTTTAAGGTGCTGGAAGAGGGAGGAAGTATTTTCTTCTCTTCTGACTGCGTTTTTGTGTTCTGTGATATGTGCATTTATTCTCCTGTTGGTTTGTCCAATGTATGTGGCTGGGCAATTGTTGCATGGTATTTCATAAACCCCTTGGTTTTCTAGCTGGATCTTGTCTTTGGGGTTTCTAAGAATGTTGGCTATTTTTTGGTCAGTGCCGAAGGCTGTCCTGATATTGTGTTTGTGGAGAATTTGGCTGATTTTGTCTGTGGTGCCTTTGATGTAGGGGAGGAGTGCGATACAGTTGTCTTGTTCTGTGTCTTGGTTGAAAAGTAATTGAAAAGTAATGTTAAAGATGTTAAGACTTTAATGAATATTAATATTAATGATAGAATTGAATTGGAATGGAATGTTGTTTTAATTATATACATTTATAATTTTTTCTTTTTTTAAGAATACAGTGTGTATTTTAAGAATGTACCAAGCAGAATCCAAATGGAAGTTATGTATTATATTGAATGTTACAACTTTAGGGAAAAGATATAAAGGCGTCATACTCCAATCAGGAGAAATTTTGTTAAATGAGAAAAGATAATAGATAATTGAAACAGGACAGACAAAAAGTATAAATACAATGATTTGAATTGAGATGAGATAATTAAAATAAAATTGAGAAAATTAAAAGAGGGGAGAAGCTATGCAGAAAATGTAAAATAGTAATAAGATATGGAATAGAATATAAAAATGAGCATGAACCTGAATTTGTGTCTGTACGAAGAAATTTAACCTGGGATTGCGCTACTTTCAAAAAAGATGTTTTATTTGTCTTTGTGAAAACTCAAATAAAATTTACAAAAAAAAAAAAGACTTCCAAAAGATACATTCTAACTGAAATATCGCAACAAAAACCCCAGGAAGAGAAAGTCGAAAAAGAAATAAGAAGATATAACTCGGGACTATCTCGATTACTTGATGATATCATTGTTTTGAATGACTAAAATCAATCGGATGGTTGTTTAAAACTGTTTAAAATGGCTCCCCTTTTAGAAGAACTGAAAATGGAACTTAAAAAGTACAAAGAAGATGCACAAGAAGGGAGAGGTTCTTTTGGCTTCGTATTTCAGTTTTTAGAAATGGAGATTTGGAATTATGAGAAACAACAAGAAATGCCTGTAGAACAAGAAGATTGCGACAAAGAAGAAGCCATCTTTAATGAACAAGTAATCTTAGATGGGGGGAAAAAAGGAAAGGGGGAAAGGAGAATGGAAAGTTTAAGATTGGGAAAAACAACTCCCCCCCCCCCAAAAAAAAAAAAAATAGAGTGAAAAATAAGTATAAAATCAGAAAGCAACAGAAGAGGGAAATGCAGAAGAGAGAATTAGAAATAGATAGACAAGGGGGTAAAAAGGGGAGGGAGAAGATGAGAGGGAAGAAAGAAAGGAAAAGAAGTAATAAAGGACAGAAACAAAATACAGAGAAACAGGGCCTATTTAGAGATAATGGGTGAAAATTTAAAGGAAAAAGGGATTCTGCAAAGGTACATAAGATAGTATGGTTATATTAGAAACAGAAATAATTTTAGAAAATATGAAACAATGTATGATTAAAATGTCTGATAAAATAGCTATCGTAATTCAGTGGAATGCTTGTCAATAAATAAATGTAATAAAAGGTTTATTTAATGATTTATAAAACATACGTGAAGAGAAGGGAAAAATTAATTATGGAGATTATATGTGTTTTTAAGGAAGTATGATATTTAATTGAAAAGAAGTGTTAAAGATGTTAAGATTTTAATGATTATTAATGATAGAACTGAACTGGAACGGAATGAGGGTTTATAATTACATATATTTACAATCTTTTTTTTTAAAGAATATAGTGTGTATTTTCAGAATGTACCAAGCAGAATTCAATTGGAAGTTATGTATCATAACCTTAAGGTATATATTGAAGTTTAAATAAGAGTTGAATGGGTGTAATTAAAAGATATAAAGGTGTCATACTCCAATTAGTAACTATAGGAGAAAACTTGTTTAATGAGAAAAGATAATATGAAATTGGAACAGAACAGACAAAAGTATAAATATAATGATTTGAATTGAGATGAGATAATCAAATTAAAATCAAGAAAATCAAAAGAGGGGAAAAACTATATAGAAAATGTAAAATAGTATAAGATATGGGATAGAATACAAAAAGGAACATGAAATTGAGTTTTGTGTCTGTATAAAGAAGTTCAACCCGGGACCATGCTATTTTCAAAAAAGATGTTTTACTTGTATTTTGTATGTGTGAAAACTCAAATAAAACTTTATTTAAAAAAAAAACATTTCTGCTACTGGTTCTCCAGAACTGGTCAGAACCTGCTGAATACCACCTCTGTATTGATTTATAAATAATTTCTCCAATAGTAATAGAAATTATCTCATTATAATGGAGAAGGCTGTGATCACAAGTCTCACAAATGGGCAGGTGTTCATTCTTGATGTGAAATTTAATCTGTGGCTCACCTGTTTTAGAAATCTTTAAACTAGGTTTGCATGGACAATCCTTCAGAAAGATACTTGTAATAACAATTGGCTATCCATTAAATGATGCTGGGTTAGTGAGTTGACATGACTCTGTCTCCCTTGGCTTGGAGAAACAGCAGGAGATAAAAGTGATAGATTTTCCCTTTAGCGGAAAACATCTTTCACCTTAATTGAGAGGTATAAACTTACAGTGAAACTGAAAGATCTCAGGATGGGAACATCCTATCAGGAAGCTCAGAGTACAGTAATTTACCAGAAGGTCGATTGCAGCTTCCTCTTGCTACAAAACAAATTATTATGCTGCAACTATAGAGGCCCACCTGCTTTTTACCATTAAATCCATAAGAGCTTTGCTTTGCTAGAAAATAAAAGCTAAAGTAAGGAAGAGAATTACCTGGACGGAACTGCTTCACCACAACAAAGCATTGCTGAGAAATATTGAAGATAAGAATGGACACACTAACAATAGGAAAGAAAAAAACCACAAGATCACAAGTTAATGAAATAATATACCATATTGGAACTCATGAAATTTCATTAGTTAAAGGCTAGATTTTAAAAGGTAAGCATATGAGTTAACAGGCATCACTTTTAAATGATAGTTGCAAAAGTGAAGAAACTGCAGTATTTTCAATTAAGGGAGATGTCTAAGAGCACCTGATTTTGGAAACAATATCTCTGGGATAATATAAGCAGTCGGCTCCATTGGAATCCTTGTCCCCTGTGCAACGAAAAATCTTTTCTGTATGATTATACATCCAGGGTCTTAAAGAGGCACTGCTCAGTTTAAGCAACAAGCAGGATAGAGCATTTTGGAGCCATCAAGCCAGGATGTTTTTCAGATTATTAAGATACTTCATTCCCTCTGTTGCTGTACCTCTTAAATATACTAAATTGGATGTCCTTAAGATTTCATCTACACTTGCCAAAATTTGGGGTTTCGTCAAGAATATAGATATCTTCCTGGTTGGCTAACTGATGCTAGCTGTTTTGAAATGACCATTTTAAGTGACTGTTATTCTCCTGTTATTTTGGCTTCTTCATGTTTTCTTTTTGATTAATGGTCAGTGTTTTAAGATTGGTTGTATTGTTTTGTTTTATTAGCAGGCCCTAGATGAAGTGGATTATCTGGATCTTTTCCAATCATCCAGGAGGACCTTTGCACAGCTCTGTGTTGTGCACCAAATCCTTCTCCTGGACCATGAGACTTCCTCAGTAACTCATGTCTTGGTCACTTCCAAAGTAGATTACTGCAACATACTCTATGTGGGATGCTCTTCAAGAGCATCTGGCAGCTACAATTGATAGAGAATGCAGCTGTGCAGACATTTATTTGTACCCCTAGGATGTGCTTCATGAGTTGCACTGGCTTCCAGTCTACTTCTGTATACAATTCAAGGTGCTGGTTTTGACTTTAAACCTCTACATGGCATGGGATCAGTTTAACGACTGCCTCATCATGATTACATCTGCCAATTCCATCACATCTTGCAGTAAGGGTGTGCTGCAGGCCCTGTCTGCTTGGGCAGTATTTCCCAACCTGATCAACTTTAAGCGGGGTGGACTTCAACTCCCAGAATTCCCTAACCATCTCGTAGGACACAGATGTGCCTTTTCTGTTGTGGCTTCTGTTATGAGTCTGGAACATTATTCTCCTTGAAATGAGATTGGCTATATCCCTGTTAGCTTTCCAGAAAGCATTTAAAAATGTGTATTTTTTCCAGCAACCTTGGAAATCCCATGATGATTTTATGATATTAGTATCATTAGTATATTTTATAATATTTTATGTTATTCTTCTGTTATTTTGGCTTCTTCATGTTTTCATTTTGATTAATGGTCAGTGTTTTAAGATTGGTTATATTGTTTTGTTGCTGTGGTTGTATTCCACCTTAGAGTTATATCATGTGAGACGGTAGGCTAAATATTTGCTAAATAAATAAATAGTGTATTGAAATTGTAATCTTAAATAATCAAAATAGTTAAATAACCAAATCTAATTGGATTATAATTTTAAATAGAAATTAAGGATAGCAATAGTGATTTGGACTCTGTTTTACTGGGGGAGGGAGGGAAAAAGAGAAGGAATGGGGTAGTTTAGTTGCCTCTACTAAGCAGGTTTTCCTCATCCCCATCCTTACATCTAGTTAAAGATCATGCCTAAGGATTGTGATTTGGGGCTATTTTCAAGTATTGATGTTATTTTAATGGTGAACTAAAGTAGCTTGGCTTTCAGAGACCTCTCACTCCCATTTTCACCATTAAAATATTGTTTAAAAATAGACATCCAGGAATATTATCACATCACTGGATGGCTTTCAACAGCATAGTATAAGTTGGAAAGCTGAATTTACATTCTAATCTCTCCAATGCTGCATATCCCTCTTATAGATATAAACAGCCTAATAACACAGAAGTGGAAAAGGGGGACAAATGCTACTTCTTTTTCTAAAAATACTATATTAATGACCAATGACCAACAACTCAAGCCAGAACACAGATGGAACAAAATTATTGATTCTGGAAATTTTATAGAAAAATAATTTTTGTATTACTTTACAGGCAGCTTTATTGCCAAATTCTTGACAAAAACAAAAACCTTTTTAATTGATGTACATGCTAGGCTTCCATGATAGCTTGTTAATTATCTAATATTAATTTTGATTGATAACTTGCCCTATTCCAAAAGTTCTGGAATCTGTACAGATGGCTGAAGAGGTATATTGAAAATCAGTGTGGATAAAAAACAAAAATGGAAAATGACATTTAATCATTGATTTGCTGCGTATTCTAACACAACTAGTTGCAAAATCTATAACTAGTAAATATACTTAATGGATTTACTGGGACAGTCTACCTACTAAAAACTAAAATTTTGAGGGAGGAATGTTTGAAGGACTGCTCTACTATTCAGTGATCTTTGGTGGATTTCTCTCCTAGCAGTAGAGCTGAGACGGTGTTAAATATTATATTGGATGTTAGCCTGGAAAAAGTTTACCCATTTGATTCTATTACACTGTAGTTTACATACATACATACATATATACATACATACATAATTTCCCACATCTGTATTTTTGATGATTATGGTGTCAGTTGAACAGAACACACAAACAAAAAACTATTTTCATTCATTATGACGCTTTAACTCTACAGCATCCATACTTATCCTTACAAAACTGAAGACTTTTTGCCTATTCACTTTTACTGATGTATCCATTTTCATTAAAAAATGTAAATGACGATTATCAGAAAAAAATCATTTTATTCATTTTCTCCTGCACGCTAAACTAGAAAGCTCAAGATGCATCTTCAGGATCTTGCACTTTTGAAAAAAATGAAAAAGCAACGTTGCATCATTGCAACACATATTCCACCCCTTTCTTATGTCTATGTGCACATACAAAAAAGGGCAGATCTTGTGTTGCAAATGCTTTTGTTATTTAACCTCCTTGTCTCCTCCATGCCTCTGTCCAAAAAAGCAATATTGGTTCATTCTGTTTTGAATTCTCAAACCTGCACTGTATAAGCCTGCCCCAAGCCTATTAATATAAAATTTGGCAGGATTAATTATTCGAGAAGAGTTAGGTTAGTCTGAAAATTCTACCTAATCTACTCTGTAATGTTTATTTAAACATTTTTGAATAATTTGCTTTATCTGTTGCTACTCTTTATAACAGACAAGCAATAAGAAGAAATAAACATAGATCTAAGATATGTAGACATCCAGAATCAGAGTGAAATGAATCCAGTCTTATCTATTTCATTATGGGGAAATGAAGATCTGCTCTAATTTTTTTGCTGATGATCTGAGTTCAACAGATTCAGGTGCATTTAACTAAATGTTTTAAAAGATATTGGTTCAATGTTTTAATGATTCAATATTACTTCTGTTCCCCACCCCTACTTTTGAAGATAAACAACATAAGCTACAGGATTTGTTACTGTAATTTCTTCTTCAAACTATTGCAAAATTAAGAATATTTTCATCTAGGAGGGGTTCTGTCAATATTATGGAAGGAAACATGTTTCCAGAAATTGAGTTGAAATAAATTTTCATCCAACTCTCATCCAATTGCATCAGTCAAATTGAATAGAAAACCTATTCTTAAAATGAAAAGAATATTCTATATATTTCTACCATGTAATTATTAAACATTAGTTAATTTTTAAAAAATAATTAGTAAAAATGATTAGAAGAAAAAGACAGCAACTCTAATCCAGCATATATAGATAGGCTTGAATTTCTAAGAACTCAAAGGCAGATTTTATAAAACTAAGCTTTCAAAGCTTGGTGTTCTTTCCTTTTAATCAGGTTATGTCTGTTCAAGTTTTATAGACATTTGAGAATTTTGTAAAATTATTCTTTTCTTCATTTTCTTTAACGAAGAAAAGGAAAATTTTGCTTAATTTTTAAAAGCCTCATGAAATTAGAGTTCATATTTCAACAAAGAAACAGAGGGAGACAGGATAATGATTTCTTGAAAATGAGGTAACATGTGCCAACTCACTGAAGAATGGGTTATTTTTCCCCTTGAGATTTAGTCACTTAAAGACATGTACATAACAGATGGAACAATCAGAACCAAGCTGTCAAAGTTAAAGAACAAGATCAAATTAAACTTGAATGAAATTGTGCTTTCATCACAACTGTCTTGTTTCTTTGCCATCTTGAGACAACAGGGAATATTCAAGCATTAAAGATTTATAAATATATTTTTAACAAAAGAATTATTTCTTAATTTTATTAATAATTAAATCTTTGTAAAAATGATTTTTTCATGTGGTTAAGAAATAGATATTTACTTACTTTATATTCAATATTATTTAATAACATTATTAAACAATATTTTCTTATTAATAACAGAAATAATGTTACATTAATATTAAACAGAATAAAAGTAATTGTTCTTCAAATACTTTTACTTTTTTAAACAAATTGGACGGCCTTAATAGCCCCTTTAGCTTTGATTTAATGAGAATAGTATGCAAATAATTATTTTCCATTATATACATTAAATTTCATTAGACTTGAAGTGTCTAGAAGCTAATATCAATGCAGATGTAAAGATCAGGGAAGACATCTTAAATGAAAAGTTGAATCTCAAAACAGGCACACATATATCTCCATCTGATTGCCTTGAAAGTTTTTTCAGTTGTTGATATTTCTTTTAACCATTTGAACAATCATAAGAAATTTCTCAAGTATTTCCAGTAACAAATACAATTCAAGGAAACCAGTCACCAGGAAAATTCTAATCCATTTTTTTTCCAATGAAAAAGTAGTTGTATTTAGGCAGAACACATTGGGCAAGGGTGAGTTTTCACCACATAAAACAGAACCTCCAATGCCTCCACATCACTGGGGAGTACAAGTACAAGGTCTGGGTGGTTCCATAAGGCATTTTTTTCTCAGTTTGTTTGCAGTATCTGTTTTTTGTTATTATTGCTGTTGTTCT